ATTAAGTCTTTTAAGTGTCACACAATGATTACTGTTCTGTCATGCAATGCTTTAAAATTGTCTTGTTAGTGCCTTGCTATTGTATGACAATCGATTGTATTTTTTACTAATTGTTTTATTTCATTATTTTAAATTAAAAGCACACACAACCCACAATTCCGCTATTCGCTCCGACGAAGGGCTAACGCTCGAAACGTCAGCTTTTGTAATCGTTACGGTGGCCAATTTACCATTTCAACTTTGTTGATATATCCAAATTATTTTAAATTATTGATTTGCTATTTGTCATTTATTATTTCTTTTAGCTTGCAATCACCCTTTCTTTTTATCAGTATTTCTTTTGTACTTTCCTGTATAAATAAATTTTATTGTGGCTATAAGTCTGTCTCGTTGTTCAAATAACAACATCAGAACCTGCCTCGGTCACACACTACCTAAGCGTTTACACACCTAAAGGTCCACTAAAGTGTGAAGAAGGCAAAGCAGTGTTTTTCAGACTTTGTTTTCACAACTGCCTAAGTCACGTTCACTACTGCGAAGGTCACTCTCATCTTTATTTATCAATCTAGTCATCAAGGACAGTCACAGTTAGAGACGGACAGAGAAAGTGGCGCTGATTTGACAGTAACAGTGACAGTGAAAGTAACAGTAACATCTACAGTCACAGTAACAGACAGCGGCAGTGACAGTGACACTAACTATAACACTGACACTAACAAGGACTGTGGAAGAAAAAGTGACAGTGATTGTGGCGGGGGAAGTGACAGTGAGAGAAGTGGTGACAACACCAATGACACTGACAGTGATAGAAACATTAAATTGTCATTGACTGGGACAAAGACAGTGATACAGACAGCGACAGTGATAGTTTACCGATGACTCATAAAGTCGATATACCTCCGAGACCCATTGTGTCGTGCGTGAATACCATCACATACTTGTCTGCTTATGCAGCGAACATCCTAAGAACACTAAGAGGTAACTTAGATTTCGCAGTGCCCAGCTTGGCCCACTTTGCAGTATCTACCATCAGTGGCAAAAGGATTCAAGATAGCAAGATCATGGTGTCGTTGTTTACCAACTTTCCGGTCAACTTAGCTGTACGAGCAGCTCAGCAGAAACTAGAACACGATCCCAGTCGACCCAACACCTAATCACATCACAGACCTCCTAAACTTCCTGTTGAGATCTATGTACTTCCAGTAAAATGGATCATTTACAAACGGACAAACGGACAAAAGGAGCAGCTGCGCGCAGCCCGGATTCGCTGTTGTCGCTAACCTCTAAATGGAGATTTTTGAAGAAAATGCATTAACATCATCACCCTACAAACCCAGGACCTGAAAACGCTAAGTAGGCATCAAAACTATTCCTTGTACGGGGGCGCCTTCAAATCCACCATGGCGTGTGCTCACGCGAAACTAAAGCAGCAAGGTTCACCCGATTTCAAAGTACGTGAATCGTGAAAGGGCAAGCAAACGTTTTCCGTTTCACGTAAACGGGGTGCTTGATCTCTCTGTCATAAAAAGAATTACCCGGGTTATATGAGAACCAGGAACGGTAAAAGCAGAGAAAGAAGGAAACAAGGAAAGAGGGAATAATGACAAATTTTATTGTTGATGTCGCTGTGAAATGTCTACATTAAACAGAAATTATCCTTGACAATGACAACCATGAATCTACTTCTCACTCTTACATTTTCCTGCTGAATAAAGACTAACTAGCTATGAAAGAGTAAAAAGCAACTAAGAATACTTCCTTTTATTTAACCAAGTTTAATTCAGTTTTCAGAGCTGAGGCATTATCTTTACAAATCATCTCATCGAATGCCAATCCACGTCACTAGTATTACTTTTCATCCACATTATACATCCTTGGTTAAAAGAAAGTCATTGTAGACGTGCTTAAATCCATCTTTACATTCCATCACGCACAAATGTATATCCTGGAAAGCGACCAAAATAGTCATCAAATGGACGTTTACGTTTGGACTTAATCCTCACTCATGGACTGGGTCCTAGATCCAGTAGATGATGTTGAACTGGTTCGAGACATTGAACGTGTACGCAGTGTTGGTACTGTAAAAAAAAAAAAAAAAAAAAAAAGAAGAAGAAAAAGAAAAACATGCTTTTAAGTTTTGCTACAATCCCGTCGAGTTCTCTTAACCGTATCTTGTACTTTAATGTAAATCCTTCTCATACACGAGGTGAAGTCATAACACGAGGTGAAGCCATAACACGAGGTAAAGCCAGAACATGTGGTCACTTGTGTTTAAAGAAATGGGGAGGGGCTTGTAAAGTCAGAGTATTTATCTCCTCCTAGCTAACCTAAATTCAAGATGCGCGGCATTGAATTCCACGAGTGCTATCATGATAAATAGGCACAAAAAATGTCAATCACTGTTGGGCCCCGCCTCTAGCGTTTGCATAAGATAATCGCTTCACTTTAACCAGCCAAGGAGCTCAACCAGTTCCCAAAGCTTGAAATTCACACCAGCAATCATGCCAGGTTGACGCCTTAACTCAAAACTATTTTCCATCTCGTTTCAGGAGTAGGTATTTGATGAAAAGGTGCTAAACATAAATTGTAGAAAACAGTTTTTAAATTAAATGTCGCGTGTTTACGGTGAAATGGAGTAGGAGAACTTGAATACAAAAGACGTTTTGTTGTGTAGCATCGCTGAGTATTTTTACGGGTTGTGCCGTATTTTGACGAGCCCTACGGGCCCTACGGGCTCGTCAAAATTTGTACTTTTTTGGATAATTTGTATTTTGACAAGCCCGTCAAAATACAAATTCTCCAACACGCCAATTTAATATCCAACACGCCAAATTGTTATTTCAGTGCGGGCGAATTTCGCGGATATTTATTAACGGGCAGTGCGTAACAGAAGTGTATGCGAAGTGGAACCGGGAATTGGCGCGTTGTCGTGTCGCTGTTTCTATTTTCCCCAATAAGTGAAGAAATTTCCTAGTCGTCCACTTGTTTTTCTTCGTTCAATTTCTCTAATAAACTTGTATCTATATTTGCTAGCCATTCCGACTCTTCGTCGTCAGAAATATGATTCAAATTGTCCGCCATTTTTTTCCCGTAACTTCAATCCAACTCTTCCCTTGCGCGATGCGAGAAAACCTGTCTAACCGGTTCTCTGGAGTACAAATATCGCGTGATATTTGTACTCGTCTATGGTGTTATTTGTACTCTACAGAGTGTAGTTGGATAATAAATTCTAGATACTTTTGGTCTCACTCTGTGAGACTGCTCTGAAAGCTCACGAAAGTCACAGACTAACTGACTTGCAACCCCGATAGTTAGTGGCTTTTTTAAAAAAGTAACAACAAAAAAGACCAGACCTGAGCAGGGGTGCAGATCTGCGTAGAATGTGTGGAAGAGCACTCAAACAAGTACAAGTAATACTTATACTTAGAGCCATAATACTTATACTTGTAGCTATAAAATACTATTTTTTTTTTTTTGGTAAGATACAGTGATTGTGAGTGAGAATGTCGAGAGGGAAAGAGTCTCACAGCTCTAACTATCAGCGTCTTTCAAACATCATCAATGAAATTTGAGACTTCTCGAGACATTTCAAGAAATACAAGCCCTGGGATTCTTGTGTTTGATAATGGCCAACTCAAACGTGGTGGCCCAAAAGATGTTACTTCAACTATTGGCACAACTATGTCTGGCTCAAGGTCAATAAATCAGGGATACCTAAAAAGTAACCGGAACAGTCCTTGAAGTGAAAGCCAAATGGTCCTTCCTTCTAGTAATGGAAGTGCTACTAGATCAAAAGGGGCAACGATGGCATTTGTCACTCTTGCACGGAAAGAAGTGCAATTGATATTGCAAGGAGTGCCAACGAATCATTCGTAACAAATCCCAACAGAATCTCATCAGTTGCCCACCTCAGAGTAAAAGCTTTGATTCAGTACTCTTTTTTAACATTGTTTCTGATTGTGTATTTGTCCCCCTCACCAGGAGGACGTACAAATGAATGAACCTTTATTTAAGTGTCGTAAAAATTCTAGTACAGGACAGTACTAACTGGGGACACTAACAAAACAAAACTAGTTAAAATAAAGTAAAGTTGTCATAATTAAGATGTAAGAATGTAAAAATGTAAAATTTCTAAAATCATATAAATTTACAAATCATAAATAGCAAGAGGAACAACTACTGTTGTCCAATGCGGAGATATCTTTACAGTTTATCATTCGTTTAAAGCCTTTCAGAGTTGGTGCATTTCTCTCAGAGCTAGACAACTTGGACCATAACAATGGGTCCAAGTATCTGATGGAGTGCCTTCCATACTTTACAGTATTATATCTTAGGAGGATAAAGTCTGAGTACAAAGGACAGGTACTCAAATGAGTAATCAATGGACTTGGCAGCCAAACCGCAAAACATTGCTACATTCTTATGCAAAATAAAGCTGTTTAAATGGAATAATCATCCAAGGTATGTTTCTTTGAACATAATTATGAGACCGAGCTTAACCTTCTCAGTTTCTCGACACATCAACAAAGAGGAAACCCGTACAAGATGTCTAGATCGACGAGGCACAGATTTTGGACAGGGATCCAGGCTGGTGTACGAAATGTTTTAGTCTACGTGTTGCATGTCAGGTCCAACAGTTGGAAATTTACAAAGGACAGTAGAGGAAAAATAGCAACCACTTGTTTCGGGTAAGAAGGAGGATAAACTGCCAAAAACAATTCAATTAAAAGCTATAGAACACACAACTTGAAATCTTAGCTTTGGCACAGTCCAAAAACAAATAATTGAGATGAGGAAACTACTTTGCACAGTTGACAAAGACAGTGAAAATTCTTTACGTCATAGTTTCTTCTCTGCAAGTTACACTGAAATCTTACCCAATCCAAGTCCTTGGATAAACAGCAGCAGCCCTTCTGACATCTTCTCAGGCTGCGTATAGAAAGAAATGAACCGTTAATAAACCCATTTATTATATAGCTGGCAGCGCCCGAATCCTGTGTTCTGATTGGCTACACGAGCGGGCAAGATGGGCCGGTATTGTTCGCTTTGATCCCGCGCAAGAAAAAAGTGCGTAAAGCGGAATTGCAAAGTTCGTAGCTTTTGGACAATGTCGGCAACGGAGTCGCAAACAGCGGCAGAAGACAGTCTAAACAAAGAAAAAATTAAATAACTCCTCAGGTTTAATGCGCTACAAACACAATCGGCTTTCTCTCCCGCCTCTCGAAATAAACAAATCATTCTTGATTCTTATTAAAGAGAAATCTTTTCGCTATACAGTATAAATCCTTTACTGGCCAAGCTCGTTCTTCTTTTTTATGTTTATAAACGCAAAAAGAACTCGGCCAATAGCCTAACCAGGCCAGCTTAATCAATAATGTATATTTATTTCAACTACTGGTTAAGCTGTAGTTCTCTGTAAAAAAGCATTTTCGTTCAAACACGAGGCTCACGAGGAACTGTCAATAAATGTCGATCATACCCTTGAATTTGTGGAAGTTATCCAAACACCAACTCATTTTACGCTACTACCAAAAATTCAGTAGTTAAGACTCGTTACATCGTTAATTTTTGCTAAAGACCCTCCAAGAAATTCCTTTTTCGCATGCAGCAAGCCAAAAACTACTGAAATTGAGACGCAAGGATACCTACACGAATCTAGAAAATGAGAACGTAACAAAAAAATGGCCATTCTCAACAATAGACTACAACAGGGACAATGACTCCAAATGTTTGCAATTCTTGTCGGTAAATTACTTGAAATAAAATATACAACCTACTGAGTTTCTGGTTTGAGGAATTTTTGCTTGCTTCTTTATGAGTTGCCAAAACATCTCCAAATCGAAAAACCAGAAACATTCGAGTTACTTTTTCCTGAATTGTTTGGGTTTGCAACAAAGTTGAACTCAGAGAAACTAATTTCTGGCTTCAATTTCGATAATTTTAGCTTACACAACTACAAAACAGAATTTTATCAATTTCTTACTGTAGATAGGTCTCTAACAGAAACAAACTACATCAGGAAATATAAGGGGAAAATGAGAGAAATCCATTTCTTGATCGCTGCCATTGATGACTCGATATTAACAAATTTTCCCTCTTAGACTGAGAGAAAAATTTTAATATTTAGACATGTTTAAAAACACTTGTACGGTATGTACACACACACACACACACACACTGTGTGTGTGCCACATAGGAGTTCATTTTTGAAAAATCCACATCACAACATTTGTTTCAGCCATGTCGTAGATATTAATAAATACGGCTGTTGCTTTCCAGACTGTTATGCATTTAATTTTTCTTGTTCAAAGAAAAATAGCAGGAGAGCTTGATTCAGGCTAAGTAAATTTAGTGTTTAAAGACCTTTTCTTCCAGGACACTAGCTCCACAGTCAGGGGTGAGAAGACTCTTGATTTTCACATCTGTCTGCTTCAGTACATCACCATAATAAAATTTATCCTCCTGCAAAGTACAACACAAAGAGCTAAAATCGCTAATTTCGTATCCACATCCTGTGAACTACAGCAGTCATTCGATGCATTTTATTAACACCTGCTCGAAAATAATGGCTAGAATGAAATTCATATCTGAAATGAAATTCATCTAGAATGAAATTCATATATTCATAAAAGAGGTAGACCACTTTTAATGTTACAACTATCAATTTGTCAAACCATTTGTCTTAATTTCAAACAGTCAATTCATTGAATCATCCAAAAACAAACAAAAGTATTGTCCTTGTATAATTGTGTCAACTTTATTTGACATTTTTTTTAGTACTTTGTGCAGAGCAAGGAGTGCCATCTCATCATTTCTAACAAACCCCAACAGTACCATCCAGGGTAAATCTCTTAATTTGGTATTCTATTCCGCATCGTTTGTATCTGTGTATTTGTGGGCCATATCAGCTAAATGTACGGGTACCTATATGAGTAATTCATGGATTTTGGTGAGCATAGTAATGAGTCCTTGCTCAGTGCCTTTCTTTAACTGCACTCTGTGCCCTGTAGCTTGCCAAGCCATTCTCATATTCTTGTTCAAAATAGAAGTATTTGTGATAACTTTCCTGTTTACAATTGCACTGGCTCACTATTGAGTAGGACAAGTATCAGAGTGGAAATCAACTAAGACCTCGTATCAGTTCGAGTCATCTCAATAAAATCTGGTTAAGCATGGAGACGACATTAGGAAGATAACGATTGACCAAAAGTAAGCAAATATTTGACAACGAAGAACATAACACCATTGCATGTTGTTTCTGATGTAAGCAGGCTGCACTGGGGTTGTGAGAATAGCTTACTAGGGCAGAAAACTTAGAACGGTTTAAAGACTGAGCACAGTTACGTGAAGCCAGGTGCATACCGTATTCTTGCGATGGGGAGAATGTTCACCAGTCACCACTAGGACTCCTGTCTTTGCACTAAAACAAAGGCATGATGAAAGTGGATATTCACTGATAGAGTAAATGAATGAAAACTCGAAATAAAATCCAAATTAACACAATGGTTGCTAGATGTTAGGCTAATTTCGTTTGAAAATGAGATTCGTTCCCAACAGTCCAGAATAAAACAAGCAACAATTGAGAGGTGCACGCTTCATCTCAATTCACCAACGTGAAATTAACAGCTTGGAATGTTGTTTAAAGTAACCTGTTCACAGGCTCTTATAGGAATTTCTAAAGCAAAAGTTGAAATTGAGCTATTCATGAAGTAAAGCTAACTTACTCAAGTTTGTGACCCTTCATGTCCTTCATTAGATCACTGCGGCTGAAAGCAACAATATGCACTGAGTAAGGGGAATTTTGAAATATCACAAAATGAAAATTACTGAAAGTATTCTGTATAAACCCTGCATTTACTATGTTTATATACTACTTGAAAAAGACATATCACTTCTTGGTAACACTATTTACTGGTCATATGTAAATGAATGTCGGCATATATAATAAAGAGCACACAGATTCTAATAAAAATTTCACTTTGACTGTGATTTACCACTGTACTTTACTATTTAATTTACTTTCCGTTACTCTTAAGCTGTGATTTAAACCTAGAATATTTGATTCTATAGACCACTTTCATAAATGGCTGCCGGATTAATATTCTTTTGTTTAAATTTAAATTGGCCTTTCTGGCCTCGTTCTCCAGTACAAAATTCAAAAGAATACATTATCTCAAGCGAGGCCAAAAGGGCTAATTTAAATTTAAACAAAAGAATATTAATCTGACAGCCATTTATAAAAGTGGTCTATTGACCACAAGATTATTCAGCAAACTCTTTGTAAATATGTGGTCCATGAAAATGCCTTGAAAAGGCTCAGGTGCTATTTGACAAATCGTCAGTAAAGATGCTATGTAAACCACAAACTGTCTAGAAGAGGCCCCCAAAACTGTGGACCACCAAAAGGGTTAAGAATTGCTCCCTTCCCTCTCTGGTCTACATAAACGACCTAATGACTTGCTTGATTGTATAGTGGTGAACCTAGAATACTTAAGCTGCATTTAAGAAGCTGATCTTGAGACCCAGACTGAAAGTGAATTGAAACATATTGATCACTGGTTAAAAGCTAGTAATTCAAGTATCAGTGTTGCCAAAACAGACTTAATAATGCTTGGGGAAAAATAGCAGTCTTAAAAGGCCCATTTCCAGCCTTGATGCAACGCGCGCCGCAACCTATTTCCTGTAACATGAAATACCTTGATTACTGAAAACCTCCTAAAATCGTCTTTCTAAAGAGCCATCCTGGACATATAGTCAATCATTTTACGCTAAATACAACAGAGTCGAGCCACGCGACTCTGATGATCACTTCCGTACAGGTTGTCGAAACGTCAGTCACCAGCACCGACAACAGTCCTACTCAGGACTAACACTCACCCGGACGATCACACTACACTTTCATATGTTACCCCCGGATTCAAACTTCATTCCAAAGTTTCCTTGCAGTATTTTGAATTTAGTTCGTATTTAATTGGAAATTGTACCCCTCGAAGAGTAAAGTTTTGAACAATATGTTAAATCAGGCCAACTCTTGCGAGATCTGTTCGCAAGATGAAAGCACTTCCATTACTCCTTTCACAGACAAAACAAAGAACCACATCCATCTCAGATCAAACTGGATCCCACCCGTTCAGCCTTAAACTGCCCTTGAGAGCTACTTGGAAAGATTACTGTATCCCAACCAAAAAATAATTTGTAACGTAATGAGGTCACGGCTCTAAAAGATTTAAAAAACAACTCTGCTTTAAACCTCAAAATGCAACACACAAACAGTCATCAGGAATAAGACAGAAACAAAAAAAAAAAAAACAGAAGAATCCAAAGTACAACTCAACACCAGAGTCTACTACAAACCTCTCAAAGCATCGATAGTAACTGAAACACTCAGGAAAGGGTTAATGAGATCATTGACCAAATGCATCGGCGGAAACACATTGGTGACATGACTGATGAAAAAAAAAAAAAAAACATCCGACCATCTCTTGCAAAAAAGGGAAAATCCCATACAAAAATCTCACACTTGTGAGAGCAAAAATACAATTTGAAGGCGATAATGCAACGCGACCACAAAAGCCACATCGGGAGTCCGTGCCGGTCTGTCTTCACCTTAATCCACAACGTGACAACGTAAAATTAAACGGACCTATCAGAGGCGCTATTTAAACAAAAGCAGCGGTTCAAAAATAAACAAACAAACATGTGAGCTTCACATTAATGAGAATCTCTCATGATAGGCCCTCTTATGTCCACTATCCGTGCTCCTAATGTACAAGCACATTAGCTTATCTCTGTAATATGCTCATCCTAGAAACTCAAAGTTGCGATTGCCAAGAACTGACTACCTGAGGCGTAGCTTTAGTAAAAATAGGTCCGCAATTCATACATGTGTGGCTTACGAAATTGAGCTGCTTTTTAATGTCTGATGTTTTCTTGAGTTTCAATTAGAAGAGCTAATATCTGATTACAGTTAGATAGTTTTCTGGTGTCTTCTTGAGCTTCGATTAGAAGAGCTAATATCTGATTACAGTCAGATAGTTTTCAGTATTGTTCCTGTTCATTGATAAAACAAGATAACTAGCACAAAATAGTCCTGAAATGTTCATTTTCAAGATGAGGGTTAATGGCCAAACTTTGTAATGGGGGTCTCATTTTGACAAAAAACACCCCAAGGATGCACCTGTAAGCCTAGGATTTTAGGAACTAAAATCCACGTCAGCATCATTTCCCATGGTGGCCTGATACATTTAGTCATAATTTTGTTTACTTAACGAAGTGGAATTGAGTTCTGAAGTTTGTAGGTTGATTGTCTTTTCCAAGGTAAGTGATGTGAAATTAACTCTAGGGAAGCATTTCACATGAGTATTTTTCGCATTTTGTGTACCAGTACACAAGGACAAAACTTTCCAGAAGGGCCAGGTCATTCAGGAAATGATGTAATATACACTAGAAGCCCATGGGGAGCGTGATTTGGTTTGAAATATGACTAATTTTGGACAAAACATACTTGTTAAGTGACACAATGCTGAGTGTAGGTTTCTATTGTCCATTAGGGCACAAAGTTCTATTCTTAGTTGGTTGACAGCAAATAATTTACTATAATTATTGTATTTGGGTTTTGTGGGACTGTATTTTTAATAAAGAATACAGAAAAATTTAGTTGAGATAGGAGGATATGAGGTTGTAAATGGGAGAATTTAGGGAAAAAAGATAGGTGCCTTACAAAATCAGAACACAAGCAATATTTTAGTGAATCATATACTGAGTGGTACTCTGAAGTAACTTTACCAGACCTGTACTTTAACATTGCTAATAATTTTTAACCCAATACGAATTACATTTGACCTAGAGGTTTTATTTAACATAAAGTTCAACTGAGATAGAGTGTCACCATAATAGATTTCAGGAACAATAATCAGAGACAACTTAAACACAACAGAGTTCAATGTACAGGCAAGCATATGATGGCATCATATGATTTAAAGTACCAGAATCTTTCAAGTTTTCTTAATATTGATATCGTTATTTCATGCCAGTGTGTTTCCTAAATTCAAGCTATGTGGAGACATGAAATGAATAGGTGAACTTGACATCATCATGTAAATAGTCAATTTGACATGCTATCAAAATTTGTCCTTCAGCTGAAATCTTTACTCAGGAATGCAATTTTGTTAACTAGTGCAGAAAATGGTTTGAACCCGGGGGGTAACATGTGAAAGTGTAGTGTGATCGTTCAGGTGCGTGTAATCCTGAGAGGGACTGTTGTTGGTGGTGGTGACTGACGTTTCGACAATCTGTGCGGAAGTCATCGTCTGAGTAAAGTGAATGGTTGTTGTCAGTCACGACTGAGTTAGAGTTAAGTGTCAGAGTTAAGTGAATAGCTGTTGTCAGTACTGACTGACAACTATTCACTTGACTCTGATGATGACTTCCGCACAGATTGTCGAAACGTCAGTCACCACCACCAACAACATTCCTTCTCAGGACTACACTCACCTGGATGATCACACTACACTTTCACAATTTTGTTAGTGTTTATCAATGTACATAAAAATATCCAAGCTTTTGTTTATTTTGGTCAGCTACTATAATTTTATGTATCAATCAGCAGAATCTACTTTGTGAAAATCTGATTTGTCTCTAATGTGATTTACTGTTGCTGAGCCTACCGATAGTTTACTTTTGTACTCGAGTTATTACTCTTGCACTAGTGATACATGAAAAAGGCACCTAGTTGTTTTCAGCCAATCAAGAGTGTAATTTTTCATGTATTGTGATGAATTGACCAAAACCAAACAAGCAACTAAAAAACGAGTTGTATACCAAAGAAAGGCCTAATACACATGTATTGCTACCAAGTTTAAATATCAATGCTTATCTGAACCGTTATGAAGAGAATTTGGAAGACTGCCAAGCTTATCGGAAGTCATGAAATGTTAAGGTCTGAATAATTCTGGGCATTACTTGGAAAACATAATACTAATCATATTTCAGTTGTAACATTAAACTACTAAGCTCCTATAGGCAATGGAATATAGGCTTTGTAGGAACTCATTTGTGAAAACCAAAACATAACATCATTCCACGTGTTGTCCTACAACTTGTTTCAATACTGGCAAGTAAAATACATTTAAATAGAACATGTTACCGCCGCATGGCTGTATTTCTTTCTTTTGTTTGTTTTCTCGTTTGTAAGCGCATTTTTCCCTCATTATCGCATTCTTTGTCTTTTTTTTCGCCTTTACGTAATCAATATTCTGCTAGGTGTTTTCGCATAATTTCGTCTCGTTAAGGCCCTCTTTGCATGCGTGTTTTAGCTCACTTGTGCTTTGACATCGCTACATTTCATTTACCCAGTTCGCTTACCGTCTTCTCCGTTTTTGATTTTCGTGTTCCTAGCCGTCCTAGTCACACAACGTTTCTACTGGTTGCTTCGCATCGCTTTTCGCTTATATTGTACATTTCGAGAAATCGATTAAACGACATGCAGCGTGTTGGACGTTTGACTATAATAGAACATCCTAAGCATTAAACTCCAAAATGATCCTTAAAATGTGCTAAGATATCCTTTGTCTTCACAAAATTGTCATGAGAGCCAATCCTTGACTGGTTCTGTTCAATCGAGATTCCCATACTTACTTTTGTCATTTTGATATATGCCTCCATGAATTCTCAACACTGCCAGGAGAATGCAACTACAATACAACTTATTTCCCTTTATGGCACTTTCAGGAGACTTCAGGCACTTTCAAACACTTTCGAATACTTT